TGCAGGGTCGCCTCTTGTGTGTTAGTATGTGGTTTTGAATGAAACGCAGGTACATGGATCGGTAGGTTGAGGTGGAACACACGAAATTTTTGGCATAAATTTAGGGTGTGTTCTAATGCTTGAAGAATATTGTGTATGGGGAATGAGCCATGAGAACCCTTATCTTGCTGACTGTCCACGCTGATGTAACGGCAACCAGAAATGCCACTTTCAGAGATAAATGAAGTAATGAGCATGTGGCTAAAGGTACGAATGGGGCTCTGGTTAGCCTTTGGAGCACAAGGTTTAAGTCCCATACTTGTGTGGGTTCTCGGATGTCTGGGTACATGTTCTGTATACACATTAGAAATAGTTTAGTAATGAGCAAATATTGAGGTCCCGTCTACCTCTTGATGGAAGGCTATGATGGCAGCAAGATGAACTTTAAGTGAGCTCATAGCAAATCTTGAGTTCTTTAGGGATAATAAGTATTCCAGGATTAGTGGAAGCGGGGCCTGTCTTGCAGATATTTGTTTGGTCTGGCACTATAAGAAGAATCTTTTCCATTTTTGGAGGTAAATAATGTGTTAATAAACAGCAGGAACACACATTTGTTTTACTTGTTCTGAGCAGGTTAGTTCATCGCATTGGAGCCATGCCTTCAGGTGAAGTCTCTCCAGGTCCGGATGGAGGACTTGACTGTCATCCTGAAAGAGAAGATTCTGTAGGCGAGGGAGAACGAATGGTGTGCAGATCGCCATCTGTGACAGGTAAGGGAACCAAGTCTGTCTGGACCATGTCGGTACTATGAGGATTATTTTGGCCCTGTTGGTTCATATTTTGTGTATTACCCTGGAGATCAGAGGTATCGGTGGGAATGCATATAGGAGGGGAGCATTCCATTTGATGAGAAAGGCATCTCCTAGGGATCATGCTCCCAGTCCTGCTTGTGAGCAAAACTTTGGGCACTTTGTGTTTACTGTCGCAAGCAGATCTCTGTGCGAAGATCCCACACATGAAATATATGTTGTAATATTTCGTTGTTCATTTCCCATTTGTGTTCTTGGGGAAACAGTCTGTTAATGTGTCCGCCATTATGTTCAGTTGACCCGGGAGGTATGCTGCGATAATAATGATGTTTTGTTTTATGCACCAGTTCCATAGTTTTAAGACCTCTGTGCGTAAGGAAAGGGATGTGCTCCACCCTGGCAGTTTATATAGAACATACACGCAATGTTGTCCATCAGGACGCTTATCGTTTTGCCACATATAATAGGGAGAAAATGTAGGCACACGTTGCGGACCGTGTGTGATTCGACCAGACTGAGGTGTAAGTGTGTTTCTGTGGGGGGAAATTTGCCTTGGAGTGTATGTTGGTTCAGGTGAGCTCCTCATCAGATCAGTGAAACATCTGTTGTATGGATAGAGGATCTTATTGAAACGGGATGCCTGAGCAAAGGTTTATTGGGTTTGTACACCATTGTGGTGACCTCTGGGGTCGGTGTGAGCCTTTTGTTTAGAACGTGCTTCCATGCGATGTATACCAAGCTCAGCAGTCCTTGGAGACAGCACATGTGTAGTCTGGCATGTGTTACAGTGAAAGTGGTGGCCACCATATATCCCAAGAGTTGTAGGCAGGTGCATGTAGACACCCAGGGGCTGTCTGAGACCACCGATATGAGGGAGGTCATTGCTGTGAATTGAAGCATTGGCAGTTATGCTTTGGCCTCCACTGAGTCCAGGTGTGCTCCTATGAAGTCAGTTGTTGTACTGGAGTTAGAGTAGATGGATGGTAATGTGAAAATATGCATTTTATAGGTCCAGAGGTGAGAACCAGTCCCCCTTGTGCAGCGCAGGGATGATAGTGTACAGGGTGACCATTCTGAATCTTTGGGTACGGATACATTTGTTGAGTTTCCTGAGATCAAGAATGGATCTCCATCCTCCATTTTTCTTTTGGGTCACAAAGTAATGGGAGTAGAACCCTTTCCCCCTGTGTTGTCCTGGAATGAGTTCCATGGCACCTAGCTGTACAAGATGGATTACCTCTTGCCACAAAAGATGCTAGTGAGAAGGGTCCCTGAAGAGGGATGGGGAAGGGGGATGGGTAGGCAGGATGGAGATAAAAGAGATGGTGTAACCAGATCGTACTATCTCCAGTACCCAGTGATCTGTGGGGATGGATGCCCACGCTTGGTAAAATGGCCGTAGTCGTTGCCAAACATCTGGATAGGTTGTGTAACATGTGCTGGCTGTCGCACCCTCAACCAAATCCTCAAAATTGCTTCTTGGCCGGTGGTACCTGTGACTGAGGTGGTCAGCATCTCTGTGAACGATGTCTTTTGTGTGAATTGTTGAATGGTCTCTGTTGTCAGTGAACTGATGTGTCCCTGTTTTGGTTATAAGATTGGTATCTCCTAGGTCTATTGGGGGTGTATATATGCCCAGGGTTCGGAGTGTTGTTTGAGAGACCTTCATTGAGCGTAGGACTTCATCAGTCTTCATGGAAAATAATTTTTCTCTGTCAAAGGGAAGGTCTTTAATCTGGAGGTACTTTGGGATTCTGGAAGATTGTAACTAGGATGCCAGTCTCGTGATTATAGCTGTAGCCGTCGCGAGCGGCCATGTCCGCGACATCAAGGGACGCTTGTAGCGCTGTCCTCAGAGATAGGCATAGCATCCTTACATGAAGTGCAATGTTTAAAACCAGGGGAGCCTGGCATTTTCGCTGTCCAACTTTGTCATGGTACAAGGAGACAGAAACTGAGAGGAGAGCTCTCTGAGATTTTTTTTTAAAAACACACAGGAAAGTTTAAATGGTTAACCGGAAACCTAAGATTAACTAAAAAAAAAGAACAGGAGTACTTGTGGCACCTTAGAGACTAACAAATTTATTAGAGCATAAGCTTTCGTGGACTACAGCCCACTTCTTCGGATGCATCCTGAAGAAGTGGGCTGTAGTCCACGAAAGCTTATGCTCTAATAAATTTGTTAGTCTCTAAGGTGCCACAAGTACTCCTGTTCTTTTTGCGGATACAGACTAACACGGCTGCTACTCTGAAACCTAAGATTAACTATAAACTAACTGCTGGGAACTAAACTTAGCAATAACCATTTCTAAATCTTTTCTAGGTAAATTTCTGACACTGCCGTTGGAGCTCAGTCTGCAGCTGAGGACAGCTGAGAAGGAATTGAGTGGGTCAGGACACAAGATGGCTACTGCGCACATACGCCCACGACCAGGCACTGCTACTGAAAATCTCCAATCAGTGGCACTGGGGCATACCGACACCTGAAGTGGAGCACCAACAGGAACAGCACTCGAAGAACTGTATTTATGAGGACCCCTTCAGAAGCACGTAACACAAGAAACAACCAAGTGTAATATACTGCCTACAGTGTATGTGCGTCATTGGCTCAACTTGATGGAAAGTCAGGTATGTATCATAAGCCTTAATACTGCTACAGTTAATGAAGATTCTTTAAATGGTAGGGGCTTGTGATTGTGGAGTAGAATGATGCAAGTTCCATCTCTACTGACAGCTGTTAAGTCTGGGGAAACTTGGATCTGTTATACTGTCCATTACAGACAGAAATGATTCAGCCCTATTAATTGGTCAAACACCCATGTTCAAATTAGCAACCATTTTTTACTTTCTAAGAGAAGCCAGGGAGACAGCACCACTTAGTTGCAACTTTGGGAATCCCTTAAAGCTTCAGGCAGCACCATATAGGTAAGCACTAAAAGCCATAATATTGACGTGTCTGTGACAGCTTTTACAACTTATGATACACCAAAAATGAAATCACTCTACCATAGATCTGCCTCTGAGTCTTGCAAGACCTTTCTCCTAAACTAAACCTCTAGAGGTATTTTAACACCTAAACCAATAGACTGGGGATTCCCCTGGACTAATGTATATCCTTATCATGCATGCAATATCAGTATTTGCTCAATTAACCCTTTTATTCACCTGAATTTGCCTTAGGCAGGGGGGAAACTGCTCATACTCTTTTCACTAAAAATTGCAAATGGACAACTAACCTGAGATCGAGGTTCTCTACGTGTTTTACACATATATATAGTCAAAAAGGCACTCACATAAGTGGGTCCACTGAACATGCCATATCAGCTCTAGTCTCATGTCTATGTTCTTGTGTACTGCCTCTGGTTTCATGGTAATCCTGCTTGGTGTTTTCACCTCTATGGTCTTGTATCCATCCCCACCCTGAGTTTTGGTCCCCTCTAATCTCATGTCCACACTATTCAGTCTCGCATCCACTTTGTGGCTTACATACTTAGTTGATAGATTTTAAATGTATATTGTAGCCTTTAAAGGCTCTTCCTTGTCTTTCTCAGCACTGGCTTTTCTCCTTTTTTCTCCACATTCTCTCTCTCCCCAGAATTTACACTGTCCCCATTTTCACTTTGATTCTGTCACACTAGGAAGAAGTTGGATAGGATTCACTGCCACGTACACAGCAAGGGAAATGTCAGCAGAGAGAAGGGCTGCTGTTCCCATTGCTAAAGCCACCTTCCCCATAGTAAGGTTAACCTCTAGTGGTCCCCATATACCCATACCACACCTTACAGAGGTAGAATAGGAGAAAAAGTGTATCATAAAACCCCACACTCACACTGAAACTAAGACCAACAGCTCTCCCACCGCAGCAACTAGGCCCACTCATCTCCCTGAACCTGCTGTGTACTACATCTTCATGGCAGTCAATCCCAGGTAACTCCTCCATAGGAGCTGCTGCTGCTTATCCATGCAGATAGGCATCAAGCCAGAGTTCCCCCGAATCCTTCAGAGATCTGCAGAGGGGAGAGAGTTGGAGCCCAATTAGTCAGCAAAGGAGACTGAACATAAAATCAAGAGAAAAAATATACAGGGGTGAGACAGAAAGCAAGAATCTAGTGTGAAGCCCCATCTCCCCTGTTTAACTCTGGAAGGACAAGAGGTGATGGGCTCAGAGCATGCATGACGGCATTCAGCCTCTGGATTACCTGAGAATGCTGCCTCACAATATGAAGCTCCTTTTGAGGTCTCTACAGAGTTTTCTAGGCCATTTTGCCACTGTGCTGACTGAGAGGTACTGATTAGGGAAGCACATATATCAAAGTTACCAGAGGAAACAAAGCATCAGAGCTCTGACACTCTCCTGAGAGAGAGATGGGGCAGGAAGAAGAAATAAATTTTCACTACTGCATAGAAACAAACCCAAACATGTAAAATAAAGTTGAAATCAATACAGGCAAAAAGAGGCCTGAACCTCAGCTTTTTCCATGGGGAGATAGAACTCTGCTGAGATGTTTTGAATACCCACACAGACCAAAGTACAGCCCAACAGTGATAGGGGCTGATATCATGATCCAGAGAAATCACACTCCTCCTCTGAGGGATTAGGTGAATTCTAATAGTAAATTTAAAAGACCAGTGATAAATCAAGTACAAACTTACTCAATAGTAGCACATTATTGTACATCTAAATGGTTTGCCTAAGACCAAGTCCTTGTGTACTAATCATGAAACCAAAACTATGTGGCAGGACCCCTTAATTCTGCTCCTTTGTTTCTCCATCTTAGGCACTGAATGAGGCAAGAGGGGGAGGGGGACCGTATGTGATCATGCAATGAAAGACTTTATCATAATGCATATGGAAAAGATTACAGAACTATCAGTGTACATTCAACTGCACATTTGGTATTTCCTAACTTTCAAGTTCTTGACTTTGCAAACGAAAGAACGTGTGTGTGTGTGTGTGTGTGTGTGTGTGTGTGTGAGAGAGAGAGAGAGAGAGATTGATTTCCTAGGGCTTTTCTTAAAAAGAAAAGGTAAAAACCAAATTCCATTATGTGTAACTCTGATAATCTACATCCCTCCCCCAAAACCCATCATGAATGATCAACAGGATTTGAGCCCTAAACCTTCACAGGGCAACACAACATATTATTACTCAAATTACCGGACTAACAACATTAACTGGCAGCAGGAGAATGTAGTTTTCCCAGAAGAGGGAACAGGGGGACAACCCTGTCTCTCTCCCCCCCTTCCCTAAAGCAGGAGTAGTTCCTGACCCATGTATTCCCCCACAGGAGGGACTGGCCACTGGTGCCCTGTGCTGGGTACAGGATAATGCTTGGAGAGAGCCCAGCCTCTCCCTTCCTGTCTGTAGAGGGAGTTGGGGGAGCTTCTGGCCCATGTGGGGCCTCAGTAAGTGTAAATGGGCCACTGGGGCCTTACACTGGTCCAAGGGACAACACAGGGGAAGCCAGGCTATCTTCATCTGCACACCACTACCACCACTTCAAAAGCTCCAGCTGTTCCCAATGCACAGCAAGTGAGAACCCAATCTTGGAATGTTCAGTGATTTTGGCAGGCTGCCAACATTTCATGAGGAAGACCAGTGAGAAAAGGGAACTTTATATCTGAATGGAATTTAGGAGACAAAGAAACGGCATTTCTGTAGCTCAAGAAGATTCCCCCTGCTGAAAATTAAAAGCCTGATGCAAAAATATCAAGGTGTGAAAGCTTCTTAATGAAAAAGTTGAAAGAATCCTTTATAACAGAGGTTCTCAAACTGGGGGGGGCACACCCCTGGGGGGCACAGAAGTATTCTAGGGGGAGGGGTGAGAAGCTTAAGGAGAGCAGCAGCTGCTGGCTGGCCATACCATGCCACCCTTACTTCTGTGCTGCTGCTGGCAGCAGCGCTGCCTTCAGAGCTGGGCACCCGGCCAGCAGCCGCCGCTCTCTGCTCTGCCTTCAGAGCTGGTCAGCAGTATACGTACTTGTGTGTTGGGAGCCGTGGGGGAGGGAAGGCGGAGCGTAAACGACTACTGACACAAAGAAGGGGAACACTATAAAATAAGTTTGAGAACCACTGGAACAGGCTGGGCAATGTAAGAAGAGGGATCACTACCAGCTCCCTCATATAATTATTCACATGCAATACACACACACCTTTTATACAGAATGCTTGTAACAAGAGGTGTTTGTCCTTCCTATTTGTCTCTTAATGTTCTTTTAAGGGCAGAAGCATGGAACCAGGCAGAGGAAATCCAATAAACTCCCCTTATGGAGAAGCACAGAAGAAACAGACAAACATAGAGAAGAAAGATGCAAAGACAGGTGGAAAGAGCTGGAGGAGGGTAAAACAGTGGACATTCTGTAGATTTATGCAACGTGCACACACAAAGGGACTTGCATAATGTCATTTGCTGCTATTTGCACAGCTGCCTAGTTGTATCATACAGACCTAGGCCTAGACTGTAAGCTATGATCTAGAAGTGAAAGACTCAGTATCCCATTCTAAGGCAGTGGTTCCCAAACTTTTTGTCGCCATGACCCTATTTTAATTATTTATTTCCTTCCAGGACCCCAGACAACATGGAGGATGCTATTTTGAAAAGCAAAATGGTGTCTTCTGCACAGCATGACCTTGCATGCATGGTACATGTGAGGTCATGCCACATGGGGGATGCCATTTCGCTCTACAAAATTGCATTTTCTGCACTGCATGACCCTGTATGTATGGTGCATGCACGGTCACACTGCGGACAAAAATGGTGTCCTCCACACACTAGGATCGCTGCAACCCCATCTGCTGATGGTGTGATTGACACAATCTTTAATGTATTTGTTCTTAATATACCCCTGAGAGGTAGGGCAGTGCTATTATTCTATATTACAAATGGGGAACTGAGGCATAGAAAGGCAAAGTGACTTGCCCAAGGTCACTCAGGAAATCTGGCAAGATAAAAATTGAATCTGGGTCTCCCAAGTCTTAGGCTAGTGCCCTAAACACTGGACCATCTTTACTGTGAGTCATTCACAATCTTGAGTCATCCAGTCCCAACTCACCTGTATCATGCATCCCTCTGTCTCGACACCTGACCCCAGCTTGCCAGCAACTATTGCACCATACTTACCGCAAAATATCTCCAAAACCAGTGAGCAGGGGCTTGCTCTGGTACTCGATGCCATGTTTGGCACATAGTGACTTCACCAGGGGGGTCACCTTCCAGTAGTTGTGTCGTGGCATCCGAGGAAAAAGACTGTGGAGAAATAATGAGGCAGTTTCAGTAGGATCTAAACTTTTCAGAGCTCTGTAGAAATCCCATCCCTCCCCCAGGGGCCGGTACTCACTGGTGCTCCATTGAGAATTCCTGCCCTTTCTGCTGGATGCATTACCCAGTGGTGCCCCTGGGAGTTCCTTCCCCCTCCTGCTGAGACCTATTGCCACCAGTGCCCCCTGGGAATTTCCTCTCCTCCTGAGATGCCTATTGTCATAACTATAAAGGGAAGGGTAACAGCTCTCCTGTGTACAGTACTATAAAATCCCTCCTGGCCAGAGACTCCAAAATCCTTTTACCTGTAAA